AGTCATTGAAATTGAAATCTCAAAATGGAATGGCCACTTTACTCATCTAGCAAATTGACCTTGCAATGAGTCCAAAAAAAGTATGTTGGAAAGCTTGATTTATAACAATAAATAAAAATAGTGTTAACCTTCGTCCATCAATTATGAATTTGTAATGAATATGAAAAATTGTCTTTACCATCTCTAACTGGAAGAAAATAAAGTTTTCATTGATTTCTCCAAAATTTTTGATCACCAAAACTGTCAAAATAGAAATAACAAAATTTAAAAAACATATATATCTTATTCTGTGTAATACGTATGAAAATAGTATAAAAAGGTATTGTAAATCCAAATAAAAGTGACAATTCTAATTTGGATCCAGGAATCCTTCCAGACTCGCCTGTAATAAATGGGTCTAAGCCCGCTTGTTTATCTAGTCGGTCATATTTGGGTAATTCCCCCAGACCCGTTTGTCACGGCTTCACGCAGGTTGGTGAAGGTTAAAGCATATAACTAAAACTTTTTATTTATTTATTTCATTCACTATTTTGAAATGAAGGCAGATGAAGATTGATGTTTGATTGTAGGGTGTTTTGTCACATATAGTGTGACCAAGAAGATTTTTTTTTTTTTTTTTTTTTTTCGCCATTTGAAATGGCGTTTCTACTACCAACCAAAGCCAACCCACACAATGACACACACACCAATGGCCACACCCACAACACTCAAGCATTGAAATAATATAATTTTATATATTTTTAAAAGTAGAGAATAAATAGAGAAAATTGATAGTATAGTAAAAAACAAAAACAAAAACAAAAATTGAGACAAGTGATTGTTATGATTAATTGTGTTCTTTATAGGAATATATTGTTAATTTATTTTCTTGTATTGAGGATGGGGAAAGTTGAACTGAATTCAGTTTATCCGCTTGAACTTTGCAACTGGGCCTCGAGCATGGTCATTGCTAGTCACTGAATTTTGAAAAGTTGATACAGAACATAAGAAGCTCATGAAAAGTAAATTCAAAGCAGTGATGATATTTGGAAATTGACATAATTGATAGGAACCATTCATAATCATAGTTATAGTATTATTAGAGTCTTATTTTATAATTATATTTATGTTTTCTAGAATTTTAAGCTTAGGGATATTTTTGTAATTTGCAATAGTTCTAAATATGGGTTTTGTGGGTCACCCATGGATTGTCATATGGTCAAGTTATTTCATTAGTTTTTATTTATATTTTTTATTTGGTCTTAAATTAGTCTTGGAAGTCCAAGATATTATAGTAGTTTCCTTTTTTTGTTCGAGTTGGTTTAAGAAGTCTCTAAAGTTTATATAAAGTCATGTAATGCTTATAATTCCGGAGCATTGATATTTTATAAAAATTTGAGAGTTTTGAAATCTTTTTATGGATTGTGTGATGCAATCAAACCCTAGGTGTGATGCCTATGGAATCTAGGTGTGATGCCTAGATCTATCTTCTTCTTTTTTGTTTCAATTTATTATTCTTGGGTTACTATTCACAGTACTCTAAAAGTGTACTTTCAACCTCAAAACCCTATCCATTCTTCCCCAAAGCAGCTTAATCCCTTCCCCTACCTATTACCCGTTAATATCATCCTTAAAACCCTAAAGTAAACATTGTTTAGGCCATCAAATAGCCTCTGTCTTGCAAATCCAATACTTGTCCTACATCAGTTTGGTATCAAAGCTTAAGGTTTCGCCACTATGTTCTTACAAGGTGGGAGATCCTAAGTACCACAATATATTATGTGCCATAACAACGAAGTTCTGGATTTTGAAGGAAGGGATAATCCTATGGTGTTCTCTAATTGGCTTATTTCAATTGAGCAATATTTTGATTGCTATAATTGGACAGGTGATCGGAAAGTGAGATATACTAAGATGACACTTGTAGGCTTAGCACAACTTTGGATACGTGTTGAAGAAAATATAAGAAGATTGGAATTGTGAAAAATTCAAAATCTCTGAGATATTAATTCGTGATTATGTTTCAATTTTAAACAGTGAATACCAATCTTAATCAAACAATCAATAACAAGTTGCCACAACGATTTAACGTGGAAAAAATCATAATTGGAGCGCCTCCAATTGTGATAAAAAAAACTATAGGCCAAAGACACAAAACAATCCGTAAAGAAAACAAAAATGAATTACACATGTGTACCCTCAATTACCTAGCAAATCCACGCTCAAATTGAATTGACGCCGATGTGTCTCTTCTACCACTGTCTTCACTTCGGAATTGTCTCGCTCAACGTTGAATTCACAACGCCGATGTCGAATCCACGGCGATGAGCCACTTCGGAATCCACCAAAGATTCAGGCTCCAATTCTTCGGAATCCACTTAAGAACACCTCTCTCTTTTGTGAAAAAATAAAATAAAAATGAACCCCTTGATGATGTTAATATAAAGTTCTTAGATCCATTGATCACTTTCAAATCTTCAAGGAAACACATAAAAATATCCTCCAATATAGAAAACCTTGGTAGCTTTTCTCTCTCAGAATATGGACGGCTTAAACTCTAAAAACAGCAAACAAAGCACTTTATAGTAAACTGAACATAAATTGAATCGTGAAGACAGCTCGAGCGCACACTTTATGGTCGAGCAAACTAACTAAAATGTGTGCCTATCGCTCGAGCCAAGACTCCACTGCTCGAGCACAAAAAGGATTCTCTCAGAAGTTCAGTCTGTTCTGCAAACATACTGGATGATGCCATTCACCGCTCAAGTGCACAAATGGCTGCTCGTTGTACATAGTCAGTGAAGTGGCAAGCATGAAAGGCTCTCAAGATCACAAACTCCTCTGCATAGGCACAATTCGGGTTGGATTCACATCTAAACACTCACATCTTTTACTAAAACAAAAGAGCAAATAAATTTACAACTAAAAAGAGTTTTGTCAAACTGGATTGCCAATTACAAAACCTAACATTGCCATCAATAAACACATGGCAAGAGATGAAAGCTAGGCTTCAAGGAAAGCATATGCCTTCAAATAATCATGTAGAATCACATGAGCAACTTGTTAGTTCAAGACATAGCTTCGCTTTGTTTGAAGAATATATGCAAAGATTCAAAGCTCTTGACAAGCGAAATCAAGTTGTGGAAGACACACACCAAATACTTGCTGGGTTTAAACATGGTTTAAGGCCTATTATTAAGCAAGAAGTACCACGTCAATCAAGATATAGCATGAAGTAGGCACAAGAAGTCGTACCAAAGCTAAAACCTATTGATGAAAACCAAAACCTTGTGCAATTGAAGCACAAAAAGTTGTATCATCCTTGAAGCACAAAAAGTTAAAAGTAAGGAATTGAGTGATATTTGTGCCAAGATAACTACGCCATTCAAAAGTTCCACTGCTAATCCTGCATCTAATATGCACATGGAGGTGGCTAACTTGGTACCTAAGTCCTTTGATAAACCATTAAAGGGAATGAATGTTGTTGGACATCAAAGCTCTAAGCCGTTAGAGTTACAAGTGGAGGAAGAGAATGGAAATCAAGCCAAAGTGATTAATGACGAGCTTAATGAGGGTGAAAGGGCTCTTATTGATGATTTAAAAGCACCCTAAGAAGATCTAATTGTTACTTGAGAAGAGGATGATGTCCAAATAGAAGACTTGGATGTCACAGAAGCTACGAGGAGTGAAGAATTAATGCATCCTGCTGCTGTTCCAGACCTTATTATGCCTTTAAAGGTCATGATATTGCAACCCGAGGTCTCCGAGGTAGTGCCTACAAAGTCACCTAGTGAATTTGCTCCAATCATAATCAATGAAGTGGCCAATGGTGAATCAAAAGATGACCTTGTGCCAGGAAAAGAGGCTAAAAAGAAACGAATCAAAGTTGTTGGTAATATTGAAGAAAGCCTTATGAAAATTGATTTGGATGAATTCAAAGGTTTGATTTCTATGCCAATTGACTTTGTTATTCCAGAAAAATTTAGTGACATGATTGAAAAGATCAATCTCTCATTAATTTTTTTGCAATCTCTAACGAAGAAAAGGCAGCATGAACTTGAACATTTTAATGTGATGCCATGGATGTAATTTCAAAACTTATGGATTCTTATACCCCAACACTTCAAAACTCGAGATTAAGTTTTTTCCTATCAAGGGAGAATGATACAGAACATAAGAAGCTCAAGGAAAAGTAAACTCAAAGAAGTGGCGATATTTGAAAATTGGCATGATTTCAAAGAAAAACTAATAGAAACAATTCATAATCATGTTTCTAGTATTATTAGAGTCTTACTTGATAATTATATTTATGTTTTCTAGGATTTTAAGCTTAGGGGTATTTTGGTAATTTGCAGAAGTTCTAAATATGGGTTTTGTGGGTCTCTCATGAGTTGTCTTATGGGTTAAGTTATTTAGTTAGTGTTTTTTTAATTTTTTTTTTCTTATTTGATCTTAAATTAGTTTTGGAAGTCTAAAATATTATAGTAATTTCCTTTTTTGATTCGAATTGGTTTAGAAAGTCTCTATAATTTATATAAAGTCATGTAATGCTTCCAATTCAAGAGAATTGATATTTTATAGCAATTTGAGAGTTTTGAAACTTCTTTATGGATTGTGTGATACAATCAAACCCTAGCTGTGATGCCTAGACCCATCTTCTTCTCTTCTTTTTTCTTCTTTTCTGTTTCAATTTACTATTCTCAGATACTATTCACAGCCCTCTAAAAGTGCAATTTTCAACCTCAAAATCCTATCCATTCATCCCCAAAGCAATCCTAATCCCTTCCCCTACCTATTAGCCTTTAATTTCACCCTTAAAACCCTAAAGTACACACTGTTTAGGCCGTCAAATAGCCTCTGTATTGCAAATCCAGTACTTGTCCTGCATCAAATGTACTGTACTTCAAAACTGAGAACAACTTCATTTTTCAATATGTTTTGAATGAAACTTTATAATATACAAACTATGAACCTCAAGCATTCCATAATGAGGATGATTTTCTTTGATGTCTTCCAGAGTTTTTTGGGAATTGCAATTAGAAGATGGTGGCGTTCTTGCAGAGTTCAGTGAGAATTATTCACAGAAACCTTGTTGAGAGAGTATTATTACTTTTATCAAAGAGAGTGTGGATGAAGAGTAAAAAGTACAGTTCCAATTCTGATGTGCAGCCAATGCCTAAGAAAAGACTCACTTTGTGTTGAAGGAAACGTCAGTGTTGTCAAGACAACTTTCCTGAACCTACTAACAAGTGGCAGGATGTTGGACCCAATCACTTCAATATCTTGGACGCTTTTTACTCTGAGCCACAAAGGTATGCATATATACCTTCCAAAACTATGTTTGTTTGTTAAAAGAGTCAAATGGAGTCGTCCGGTGGAATTTTGCCCCTCTGGTCAATGATCTTTAATTTCTTTATGTAATGTGTCTCTTCTAGCATACGTATTTTTGAATTTTGATTCTTTGTAGCATATGTATAGGCATATTTGGCTCAATTGAGATCTCCAAAAACACCCATATCAAGATTCTTTTTTTATATATTTTCCTTTGTTTCCACAACAATAGAGCTTGAATAACATGTCAGCTTAGCTGTCACACTCACACACACACACATATATATATATATATATATCTCTTAGTGGGACACCTAGTGCTAGTGCTAGTAGTGCATGAGTCTATATTACACAGAGTTACCATGACTAAAAGCCAAATTATAATAATATCATAAAAAAGATACAAAACAAATAATTTTTTGTATATGGACATGCAATTTTAAGGAAAAGTCAAGATACAATGAAATGATAGTTTTAATTTAACAGGGATAAATATTGGTAGTCCCAAGCACACAATCTTAGTTGGAAAGATAACATCCCCACATGAACATATGTTTGATATAATACAATCTACTCAAAGGAGAAAAGTGACAGTTACTTATTCAAGCAACAGATTAAAGATTGCTGAGGCAACAATGACGTAAAGCCACCATTTGTATTCTACTGGCTGTTGAAGTAGCATACAGTTGAGGTAACCACTATTGGAGGACTTTGAATGTAACCTCTAACTGACAAAAATAAACATGCTTTAGTTCACTTGCCCAAAACGGAAAAAAAGAAAAGAAAAGAGAAGTGCTTAAGTCCACTCACTCATCTTTGCTGCATGAATAGATTATAATCATAAAAGAAAGAAAAAGAAAATGAGAAATTGAATTGTGATGTTTCAAATGAGGGAAAGATGTATTTAGGTAGAGTTATGCTATACGTAAACAACTTTCTCACCAAAATTTCGTATTACTAGATGCAAAGCTAGTGAGGTTTACATTAATAAATATACGTGAAACTCATGTCATTGTGTCTAGTGGAAAGATCAGGTAAAAAATTTGTTTGTGTATAACATTTTTCATTTTGGTTTGCATATGCATAGGCATAGGTCAAGAGGGTATGATACACGCCTTTGGCCTTTATGTTGCAAAATTTCTTCCAACTTCCTAGCATTAGTTCAACCCTTCATTCATGTATGTATTTTTGATCTTACGCAATTCGCCAATAACACTTTCTATTTCCATTCGATCTCTTGGCAATTCCGTTGAACATCCAACCCCAATTCTCATAATGGCAAACATGCAATCTCTGATCCAACTACTTGTGTTGTGCTTCAATAGGATGTAGGGATACACAATCTCCATCATATTGTCAGGTAAAGCTTCCTCAACGAAGTTATGAAGATTTACATGATCCTTAAACATATCATTAGTTGGTCTCTTACCTGTAAACATTTCCAATAAAAGAATTCAAAGCTATATACATCCCTTAGTGTGGAAGCCATGTCGCCCACGCCGTACTTTGCAAATTGATTGTAATTCCAATAGAAAATGCCTTTAATAATGTTTTGAATGAAAATTTGACATAATTTTAATTATTTGTGATGGTCTTTCATATCTCTCAGCAACATTTTTTTTTTTGGCTTGGTGTTTGTGAGTGTGATTGTGTGAGATCATTATTGTTTAATTGTATTTTTTTGTCGAAGCTAACAAAATACTAGAATTTAATGAAAATTTTAGTCAAATGCTAAGTGACAAAGAAAAAGCGAAATAAAACATTATGCATGAAAAGTGTAATTTACCTAGTTTACTTAAAAACATGTTATTGAATTTACCTATTTAAAAAGTAAAAAAAAAAAATTATGGGTTGCCTTGAGTCGGGTTCAGTTTAGCATTTGGGTTGGTTCCACATGCCTTTTTTGTCAAATTGTTGGATGGTTAGTTAGTTAAGGGATTAAATTAGAAGAAAATAAAAATTTTAAAACCAAAGAATCGTCCTTGATTTGAGTGAACTATAATTTATCCAAAATTAAAATATAAAGAAGAATAAGCTGCTTGCTGTTGGCTCGCTCTAAATTCGCTTAGTAACTTGCTTAATTGGTTGCCTAATTAAGCCAATTTGAAGCTCAAGTTTAAGGTGGAATGTTTCATTACAAAACATGTGTCCTACAAAATGAAATGAATTTGTAAATACACTACAGATTTCTCTGTACATTTAAAAACACTAACACCAACAATAATAATAAAATAAAAAAGTATTCTAAATGTTATATAGGTGTTGAAAGAAAATAAATGAGAGTATTTTGAAACTCCCAAAGTGAAACTCTGCTGTGTTGTAGCTTTGGAAAGAAAGAAGAAATGGGTGAATCCAAAGCAATTAGTGTATATTTCAGTTGTCAGCACTGCCTAGGCTCATTGACAACCTAATCTAGGAAACCATGGGAATGGTTAGTTTAATTTTCTTAATGCAAGTTCAATTTTTTCTTTATGAGGAAATTGAAAAGATTTTGTACCTGGAGTAGCATAGCCTATATTTCCCCTTATCGCAATCGAATTGCTTTGACTTTGTGATGCATCATTTGAAGCTGCAGAAATAATTTTTGCTAACCCAAAATCTCCAACATGGGCAGCATCTCATCATCGAGAAGAACATTACTCGGCTTAAGATCACCATGAATAATTGTTGACCCACAACCACAATGAAGATACTTAAGTTAAGTGCACAAGCAATATCAATGGAAATGTCCAGTCTCTCGATCAATTTAAGTTTTATGAGTTCTCCTTGTTGCTCTTGTTCTGCAACTCCATATGGGTGCAGCCATTTATGTAAGCTTCCATTGGCCATAAAATTGTATACTATGGCTTTAAATTCATTACCATGAAAATCCACATTGGAACAAGCACTTGCACTTTTCAAGAGATTGCGATGTCTTATAGTTCTTAGTGCTTTACATTCTGACATGAAGCTCTTAAAAGCTCCTTTGAGTTGAAGATTGAGCACTTTCACTGCAACTATCATCTGATCCTTGTTAACTTCTCGAGGATTTCGTTGTGTGCGATGATCGAGTTTTGACACCGTTGATTTTAGGGGTTTCATCTCATTTCTTCTTCAAAACTTGAAGTAGGGGTTTTTTTAGAGTTATATATATATATTTTTGCAAGATCTATATGATTTTCGAAATCATCTTTCGATAGCTTTGAAAATTGATTGTTGATTCAAGAAGTTGAGCGATTTTGAAAGTGGGTTTGTCTCTTGTTCTTTTAAAATGATCTTATGGGTTTTGATCTTCGTTGATTGAAGAAAAGATGATTTTGAAAAGTTTTCTTTCAAAAGATTTGAGTTGTATAGTTTTGGTGAGAAAACCTAGAATTTGGAGATTTTTTTTAAAAGAGACTGAAAATTCATGAATGATATTGTTATATTTATTGTGTGTGTCAAAATAGAGGGATGTTTGAAAAATTTCTATTTATATTTATATAAATGATGAATTTCAGGAAATATGAGAATTGTTGTTCATTTTGAAAATTATTGTTCAAAACGTTGAAACAGTCTTGAAATGACTAATTGTTGATGATACTTGAGAAGAGGGAATTGTGTTATTTTTTGGATGATGAATTGAAATAAAAGTATTTATATTCATCTTGTGTTATTGGCATATCAATTCATTTGATTACATTAAACTTTGAAAGCTGATTTGAAAACTTGCATTGAGAAAAAAATGTTGAGAAACAAGTTTTCATGGAATGGTTTTGGGGTAAATACGTTGGTAAGTCTTGATAGGTGGTGTAGACGATATTAAATCAGTTGGCCTGAGAGTCCAGGGTGAAAGACCGAAAACCCGCACGGATAGGTGTCGAGCCTTCCGGTTAATACCGGTAAAAATGACAAATTGGTAGTACTTGTATAGTCTATTTGCAGACACAGACCTAAGGATTACCAAAGTCATATTTACCACACTTGAAATGAATTGTTAAGTTTTGAAGAATTGAAATTGCATGACATCATTGAGCATGATGGTTTTCAAAGATGAAGATGTGATTTTCTTTCGAAAGGGCATAGCATGGCATGTACATTTCATCTTTTGAGATTTGTATAAAATGTATTTACTTTGTTAAGGATTTCCTACTGGGCTTTATGTTTACCCTACGGAACTTTTGTGCAGGGAAATATGTGGTGATGCCCCCTAACTAAAGGCGAGGAAATGTGTGTTGAGAGTACGAGACTCTCATTTTGCTGTGACTCTGTGTGTAAGCCAAGGGCTATATGTGTGTAGGTTTGAATAACCGTTTTGTGTAACCATACTCAAGCCTTGGAAACTTGTAAACCCTTGGGAGTATTTATTTGTTTATTTCCTTCTTGTTAGAATCAGGTATTGTTGCATGAAGAACTATTGTATCATGTAATGTAAGTTTGGATATTTATATTCGGTTTTTCTTGAAAGAGCCATGATTGTTGTATTATCATTTGGGTTAGAAATTTGGGGCGTTACAAGCTTTGAGAAGCTTTGCATAAGAAACCCTCAAAATTTCGTTATGAAAAAGATAACTAACAAAGTTGTCACGACCCAAACCCGTTCCTATAGATTTAGCGTCGTAATTGGCCAGTAATTTTGCGATTACCAAAGACCTTTAAACAGATCATCACATAATAAGGGGCTGTGGAAGCACATATATAAAACATACATAGTCCATAGAGCTGTGTAGACGTACATGGGACAAAATTTAAAACTTATATACATATATCCACATATGAGGTCATATACACATCCATCTTACATCGTCATTAAACATATAACCCAAAAGAACTGTTCACTTAAAACAAACAAAAGTCTTAAACTTATAACTTGATTCACAAAACTCGACCACTCGACTTTTTTCGAAACCTCCTCGGGAGGCACAAAGGTTGGCCAACAAAACAGAATTCCAGCCGATCATCATTGAGCCTGGCCACGTGCCTGGTCACACACATACATAAATATTACGGTGAGCTGGAGCCC